TTTAGTCAAGATTGACAAGGTTTTTCATAATGAAATGCACACAGACCTTCCATCCAAACTTAACTTAATGTTAATAAAGATAATAATTTTGAAATGTTTGGTTGCACAGGCAATAATTCGTTGTAAAGAAGATTTGTGGAGACTTGTAACGGTAAATTCAGTTCAGTTACGGTAACGAATCACCAAGAATCTTCTAAACGTCCTGTTTCTCAACTTTAGTAAACTGAACTTTTGGGGAAGGATGAGATCAGAATCAAAAGGTAAAACTTGTGATGAGTCGTTTTTTTTCTTTGCTGCGCTGGCTTGAAATGATTTGCAAATTGTTTAAAGTATTTTCGTTTTCCAAAAATGATAAATGGTTGTGGTTATTTTACGTCACCGTATCGTGCGAATCCCGATTTGTGAAACTGAAAAACTTATTTGTTTTTGTTCAAAACGTCAGGGTTGAGTGAAACAGATATTTGACTGAAAGGAAATCGTGTTTCGTTTTAGATTTTTTTGCGTGGTGTCAACCGCTGTCTACCATTAGGTCTTCGTCTTTTTACGACGTTTCAGACCGTTCAAAATGACCAAAAACTGATGGTCTTGTCTTGGAACCTTTACCTCAGATCGTCAAAGGTTAGTCACACAACGTCTTAGTGATATTTTCTGGACACGAGACCAGGTTCAAAAACGGTTTATTTCATTGTTAATTTAATGATCGATCGATAAACAAACAATATGTGCAAATTTTTTTGATTGTTTGTGTTTGAAATTAAAAAATTTATTTTTTGGATTTTGACCATTTGAGAGATACGTAGTGAGTGGGTGATCTGGATAAGAAAAATTTTTAATTTCCTTTTCAATCTTTTTTGATTTTGACCATTTGAAGGATAGTGGATTATCTGATTTCCTTTTGGAGAAAACCATAAAATCGTTGATTAATGAAAAATTTCCTTTCGGGAAAAACAAATAAAATACGTTGATTGATTAAGAAAAAAAGGTTGGTTGATTTTTTTTTAAACAATCGAAAATTCGTAAATGACTTTTGATGTTTGCATGAAGCTTATTCTTCTATAGCGATAGGCGAAAAAAAAATCTAATTGATCCAATTGACCTTTAATTTGGGATAAGATAAATAAAACACGAGGAAAATATCAGGACAAAAGATTTTAATAATTAACAATCAAAATTCGCAAATGGCTTTTAATTCACATGAGGGTTCTTCTTGCGAAGGATCTTTTTTTTTAAATTAAGAAAAAAAAAGTTCAGTTGATTTTTTTAACAATTGAAATTTATTCTTCTATAGTGATGTAGACTTGAAAAAAACATCTAATCGATCAAATTGACCTTTAATCTGGGATAAAAATAAATGAACAAGAGGAAAAGATCAAGACAAAAGATCTTTTTTTTTAACAATCGAAATTCGCAAATGGCTTTGATTCACAAGAGGGTTCTTCTTTGCAAAGGTTTTTTTTTGATCAAGGGAAAAAAAGCTTAGTTGATTTTTTTAACAATTGAAATTTGTAAAGCTTATTCTTCTATGGTGATGTAGACTTGAAAAAAACATCTAATCGATCAAATTGACCTTTTATGTGTGCTTGCGAAGCAAGTTTTACAAAAATAATGTTTTATCAATTATTCAATAGTTATTTATTTATGTATATAAATTTCTTTTATTTTAACTTATATTTAATAACATCACTATGACAAATAATTAAATGAATAAAGTCAGAGATAAAACACCTTTTAATTTAATCATTATTGTTGCTTGTTTACTATTATAATTATTATTTATGTATATACTGTAGGTAAAGAAAAACTTTAATGTCTATTTATTTATTATATTACTTTTAAAATAAATGATTTTGCTATAAAAGACATACCTAAGTGATCAAAATATTCGTAATAATGTAATATTTGGACATTTATTTCTACTTATACTTGTGATTGGACGCGTTAAACAAAATTAGTATTAAGGCCAAATTTGGCTTTGAGGGTCAGATTATTTTTGGTTTTATTAACAACTTTCTTTAAAAATTTTCTTAAAGCAGATACACATTAATATGATAAAGAAGTTATATTGCGGTGGTTGCTACACAACAAGGGTATTAAATGGGGATTAGAAGTCACTTGATTGTAAAATTTTACTATTAGTAATAATAAATTTTTCTGATAAACAGTGTAACAGTACTGCATCTTTTTTAAAAAAAAAAAAAAAATGAAATGAAATGATCATGATTAGTATTTTTCTAGGTAAGTGTTTAAGAATGGTGGTGGTCTCCACTTGTCATTACTCTAGTTATTATTTAAAAAATGATGTTTATTGCCACTGTTTGTGACTCTAATTGTTTAATTGCTTTTGTGATAGTAATGACAATAACCTGAAAAAAACGAAAAAATTTATCATCTTTTGATGATAAAGTAAGTATTAAGTAACTCAAATGGGGTAATGAGTAAAGATTTTTTTTGATATTAATACAATTCAACCCACCAGGGTTGGCAAATGTGTGGTCCATTGGTGGTCTATTGATGGTCTATTGGGTCCATTAGTGTAACATTTTAACTATATTTAGTATTTTATTAATGGCAATGGACCAGCTCAAAGTCCATCAGTTCTCAAATTTGCCAACCCTGAAATGAACAATCCGTTACTATTAATATTAATGATAGGAATAGTATTAATGATCTAAATGAACAATCTGTTACTATTAGTATTAATGATAGAAATAGTATCAGTATTAATGATCTAAATGAACAATCCATTATTATTAATGATAGAAATAGTATTGTAATTGATAATCTAAATGAACAATCCGTTATTATTAATGATAGAAATAGTATTGTAATTGATGATCTAAATAAACAATCTGTTACTATTAATGATAGAAATAGTATTGATGGTCTAAATAGTAATGATGATAATCCAAATGAACAAACTGTTGTAGAAACATCATCATCGTTAGCATCACAGAAAAGTTATAATCTTAGAAGAAAAAGACCAGTAAACTATAATGTTGGTGGAACATTACCAAAAAAGTGATACCGAAAAAATAATGTAAGTATAAACTGAAACATTAATAGTAGACATATCATTTTATTTAATTTTTTTTTTTACTTATATTTATAGAGATCACCACCATCACCATCCTCACCATCACCACCATCTCCGCCATCACCACCATCCGAGGTATATACATTATAAATTATAATTGTATTTTAAGATAAAATATTAATTTTTTATTATTTTTTATATATAGATTGGATGCACAAATTCATGCCCATTACATTGTCAATAATATTTTCGACAAAAATGTTAAGTCTGTTATCGAGGCAAGTTTGGATATTTCCAATTGCTCTTTTTAATGATTGAGGATTAACAAAAGAATAATTTATTTTCCCTTGATGCCAAGAAAAATAATAATCACTGCTGATTTTTAGTTTCTCGTAAATTTCCCTTTTGCTCTGATGGAGAATTAAAAAAAGTTCTTTTTCTTTTTTGTTAATAAAAGTCAGTTTAAAATTTTTCCCCAAACTGATCTCGTCAACAATACGGATTGTGATTTAATTTGCAACAATAGATCAATAGCATTTGTGAGACATTTCAACAGCAATTAAATTATTTTATCTTGTGAGCTGGCTACTTACTATACTAATTGTTAATAAAATACAATAATTATTAATTGTTTACTTTTAAATAGTCATTGTGAATATGTGGAACTTTGATTTATGTTGTCCAAGTGATTTATTTAACTAACTACATTGTTGTTTAGGTAAATATACTATTTTGATCCTTGCATCATTTATCTTCATTTTTTTCATTATCAAGCACTGCTACAGCTACTCTCTTATTTAAGTAATAAGGGATTGTAA